TCATCTCAGTCGTATGACACACAGTGTCTTGAAAATATCTCTTAGGTTGTATGACACAGAGTGTCTTGAAAATATCTCTCAGGTTGTATGACACAGAGTGTCTTGAAAATATTTCTCAGGTTTTATGACACAGAGTGTCTTGAAAATATCTCTCAGGTTTTATGACACAGAGTGGTCTTGAAAATATTTCTCAGGTCATATGACACAGAGTGTCTTGAAAATATCTCTTAGGTTGTATGACAGATCGTCTTGTTTACAGTACATTTACACATGTGTGCACTAAATTTATATTTTACAACAAAATAATTAATTTATTTCTCCATACAGGAAGCAAAGAACCACTGGCTTTGTGCGAACTATGCCACTCTTGTGTTTGTACTTGCATTAGGATTGTCAATTATTGCTTTGTTGGTAAGTCATATGTGTGTGTCCTGCTCATAAAATGTGTGCTCTACAGACTATGCATTCAGTCCAATTAATTATAATATGATCAGATTATTAATTTTTCTAATTATTAAACTTTTGAACCTCTAACATTTTATAAAGATTATTTATTTATTTCATATTGCATTGTTTTTGTTAACATTGTATTTTTTGGAAGCGTTGTAATTTGGGAAACCTGTATGCATCTTTTAAATAAAAAAAAAAAAAAATAAGTTTTCCTGTTTTGTGTATTTGTCTATAATTTATCATCATTTTTGTTCAGATGGACATTTTATTATTGGTTTTATTCAAAATACGAAAAAAAAAATAAATGATGTGAGTTTTATTTTATATACTAATACGTAACCTTGGTTTCACATAATAAGTACTGAGGCAGGTATACTGTATTTAACACATTGCTTTTTGAAAGCCTACATGGATTGGGAAAATGAAAAAACGATATACAGTAATTGTCAGTGTCAACAATATTTATTCATTTGTATCTACAGAGTGTGTTGAAATGATTGTCTTTTGTTTTGTTTTAAATTTCTAGATTATATATGGACTTTCTTTCAGAGTTTATCGACAACTTGTTTTTCAAAATGGTGAGATTTTGTCAAATTTTATTGCACCTTCTTTGTGTAAACTAAATCACAACATATTGCTGTAAACTAAATCACAACATATTGCTGTGTTCAATCAAAAAAAACGAATAAAACCAAAACCCAACTTAGCATTCATATATTGGACCCAATAATCTCCTCTTAGTGGCAATTAATAAGTCTATAACTACCTGTCATTCTAACTTATTGTTTTTACAGTATGGACTGATCGTCAACGAGCTGCAGTGTCAAGTATGCGATACAGAATAACACTTTATATTCTAGTTTTCCTATTTTGTTGGCTGCCAGGTAAGATTCAATATTCAGAAATACACAGATTTCACTGTAGCACTCTCCTTTGTGTGTTCATATTAGACAGGTTTCTCTGTAACACAGACCCTTTGATGTTCAGAATACACAGATTTCACTGTAGCACTCTCCTTTGTGTTCATATT